TCACTGTATATGACACATAACATGGCACAAGTATCATGATCTGTTACACCCCGATGTGGGTTATTACCTGGCAGGCACCCAGAGCTTTCAAGAGGGGCTTTGATCCCCAGCGAACCTGCATAGGACAATCATGCATACAATGAATGGATTTTCACCTCCCAAAACAATTTTATAAAGCAAATTCCATATAGTAATATGGAAAGATGTGCATTATTATTATTTGGAAATCACTCTGCATGCCACATCATTATCAAACAAAATGCAGTCACATTTGGAAAAATTGGAATGTGGAAAAAAAAGTTTCTTTGTTGATGGATAGAGGGAATGAAATGCAGAAGCAAGACAATAGAAAAATGCATATAATGAGTTTCTAATGCAAGTAGGTTACCTGCACTTATTCTACCGGTAATGTTATGTGGATCAACCTTACTTGGACATCTGGAGCAGATGAAGTTGAGCTTCTCAGTCATAGGCAGGCTGACCCAGTAATGTGGGTCTTTAGATTGTACTGCCCCTGTGTTTCCACAAAAGTTAGTGTTTGTTTCCCAATTCTGGTAGCTGACATTTTCTGTACTGACCCAGACCCAGAATATCAGGGAGCAGGAGAAGCGCAGCCCCAGCCAGACATGATCAGTGGAGGCAGTTTCAGCCATCCTACTGACCCAGTACTGGATCTCATCATTGTGGACAGACACCAGATCCAAATAGTTCATTCTGCAGTATTTCAGGGCTTCATTCCAGGTCATGTTACTATTTACCAAGATCAGGTTATCTGGGGCAGAAGGTAAGATGATTGTCAGAAAGTGGATTCAGGAGAAAGTCATGTGACATCTGGGAATTTGGAGAACGGAATTTATTATGAGAAGGGTAGAGGGAGTGAAAGTCACAAAACAGTGAAGGCAAAATAACTTTCTGATGCAACTGTGCAGTGTTATGTGTACTTATAATACTAAATATTACTTTAGGTGTAGTATATTTTTAAAGTAATATAAATTAATGCTGTTAGACAAAAGTGAGAATCAGCAACTGTAGTAAAGTTACATTACTCACCATCATAGCATATGAATGGATGCTTTTCATCACATGGTATCATATCCCATGTCCCAGGCCAGGTGACCTGTGCTAAAGCACATGCAGTATTCTTACTATCATTTTGACCCATTTTCCAGTTACGGAATGAGGAGTTTGACAGGTCTGACCATTCCCATGTGTCCTGGAACAGGCCAATCCACACGCAAGTGCCACTTGTAACCATTGTCTGTATCAAGTCATTATC